GACTGGAAGATGCGTTCTATATCATTACTAGTAGTCGCTCGTGGACTATATATCTGCATCAAGGATCTAGGCTAAGATTCATCCACAGAGATCTGAAAACAAACAACATTATGGAAAGTTCATCCCATTCCTTAACTTTTAAAAAATTTCCTTAAGCATCACATTCCTTATTTAAAAACTACAACTTGTCTCTAGAGAATATTTTTGGGATTAACTCAAAAATATTCCGTACCCTCTTAAAATCATTCTCATTACTTCCTCTCTGTTTTCACTATCTTTTCTCCTTTTTTTACAACAACAGAAAACTAAACTATGATATATGCTTTTCCGGTTCAGAAAACCAAACCGGAGGCATAGAATTGAAAAAGAACATAGTAGAAGGGGAACACCTAGCACCGCGTGCAAGCTTGTCCGCAACTGAATTAAGAACCCTCAAAATATGTCAGATCTAGAACGTAGGGAAGAAAGACTTATTGCGCCTGAACTCCTCCAAATGTGTAGCAAAAACTGGCCATTCTTCAGGCGATGACACTATCTTCACCAGTGGAGAACATTCTCTTGCAAACACTACGTCTAAGAAATTATGAGTCTTCATGCACTCCAGAGCCATATCAAAGCTTCACATTCAGCATGTAAAGCGGATAAGCTTCTGCGGAGATTCATCGCCCCCATCAACTTCTCTTCTGAACCATTAGTTCTACATAACCATCCTTCTCCTGAGAACTTGTCTTGTGCCCTCCATGCACCATCAACAAAAAAAACTCTAGAATGCGGTAGTGAAAGCCAATCAGCTGACGATAGAGACGATGGTTTCCTTTCCGGAGCCGGAAATTGAGCGTATGCCACACCCCCTCCGCTATCCGAAGAATTTTCTGTGGATTGTCATCTCTTCTTTTGTAAATCTTATAATTTCTATTCTTGTAGATATACCACAAAATCCAAGACAATGAGCTAAAATCATAATCTTTTGGTAGTCTCCAGAAAAAATAATATATATTTGTGAAGGCCGATGGAGTTGGGAAAATACCCAAGGGAGAGGGTATCTTCAACAAAGTCCATGTTTGCAGAGCCGGGAGACATTAAAAAACAACATGGTTAATAAATTCATCATCAGCACCGCAGATACTACACTGTGAGTCACAATCAATACCCCGTGATCTCAATATATTTTTTTTTTGCAACCGGAATAGTACCCTTTAGAACATGCCAAATAAAATGCCTTAGTTTTCGCGGACATTGAGGTTTCCAAGTGTAACTCAGAAAGGGAGTAATATTTGGCCCGTAAGTAACCTATTGCTGGTCCTTGTCTGGGAATAAAGTTTTGATTTATATCCAGATTTAACTGTCTATTTACCAGTATCTGTAAACGCCCAACCATAGGAATCTGGCCTAAGAAGCCGACTAATAGCCAGACCTTTAATGATCTTTACATCATCTGGATATATATATATATATGCATTAAGCAATTCTACATTCCAAGAAGACGTAACCGGTTAATGAGATGTCCCATCTTCAAAGAAGGATCTAAGAACTGGGGTGAATTTTTTGGGGTTGCTGACCTCGGGCGAGGAGCCGGAATCCATGGATCATTCCATACTGAAATGGATAGTCTGTTTCCGATTCTTTTGATTAGCCCTTCTTTAACCAAAGATCTAGTTGAACAGATGATCCTCCAACCATAATATTGTGAATAGGATCCGTGTGGATCCAAAGGATCTGTGTTCCGAAAATATCGTCCTTTGAAAACTTCTGAAAATAAACAATTAAGTTTACCTATTAAGCGCCATGATTTCTTTGCCAATAATGCAGTATTAAAATCTTGAATATCACAAAAGCTCAAGGCACCTTCGTCCTTATGTTTACACACATTATCTCAAGACATCCAATGAATTCCTCTCCTAATTCCATTTCCCCAACCAGAAATTTTCTTTGTCGCCGTCTTAGGTATTCTGTAACATGACATAACGTGATTCGGCACTGCTGTTGCTACTAATTTTATCATAACTTCTTTTCCACCTTTAGTAGGGAATCTAACTCTTCAACTATTAACCTTCTGATTAATCCTTTCATTCACATAACCAAAGACCTGAATCTTAGATCCACCTATACTTTCCGGTATACCCAAGTAGTTACCCATGTCTGCCAACGTAGTAATACCTAACTGGGATTGAATTTCTGACCGGCTCGTTTCCGGTACTTTATGACCAAGTAAGAGAGATGATTTTTCAAAATTATAAGCTGTCATGACACTGCTTTGTAATCCTTAAGGAGCTTAAGAATCATAACGCATTCAGCCGAGTTCACCCTATAAAAAAATAAACTATCATTCGCAAAAGAATATGATAAACCGGTGGGCCCCTACGGGATATTTCTAAATCCGTCAAACTCTTATTCCTTTCCTCCTTCCTAATATTTACAATGAGATATTCCGTACACAACATAAATAAATTGGTGACAGTGGATCCCCTTGTCGCAGCCCTCTTTCTGGAACAATACTCCCTTTAGGGTGTCCATTAAGTAACACCTATATTTAACTGATACATTTCATTACTCTGTAAATAATACTAATCCAAAATTATTTGGAATACATATTTCGCACTTAACCTATCCCTCTAAATTCAGTAGAAATCGGAATCTACACATTATTTATAAATCTAAAATCAGTAGAACTAAAATCTACACATTATTATAAATCTAAAACCTGTAGAAATTGATATCAAACATTGTATTCTACATATTGTAGAATACATATTCTACGGATAAGGACAATCAGTTCCAAAGTTATGGCAAGAAAATATTTGGAAATATATTGTTTCCATATATTAAAATCGATATTTTTCAGAAAAACTTTTTTTTTTAAAACGTGCATATTTTAATTACTTTAATTTTTTGACAAAAATTTAATTTTTTGACAACAATTAATTTTTAATGTTTTTTTAATTTTAATTACTTTAGTTTTTTATTTGATAACACTTTAATTATTTATTATATTACAATATTTAACTATTAGTCCCTCCTTTTCAAATTATATTTCATTCTAGAGTTTTATACAAAAATTAAGAAACTATTTAAATGTTCAGATTTACCTTTCTTTGGCCACTAGAATTACATAACATTTAATATTTATCATAATTTAATGGGACATTTGCTAAAGACAACCTAAAATTTTAAATCAAATGCAAAAGTATATCCTAATTTCAATCAAAAGAAAAACCAACCTAAAGGGGTAGAGAAATGTCTATTTACCCCTCATGACTAAACAAAAAAAAACAGAATGCTATTTTACAATTTTATCCTTATGAAGTCTACATTTAATAGAGAGAAGTCTACAAAGTGTAGACTTATCATGAAGTCAATATTATAGACTTATTACGAAGTCTACATTCTAAGTTAATCTTATAATTTATTTTACAAATATATAAAAATAAATTGTGTGGAATTTCTTTTAGGTAATCAATATAAGAATCAATATGAGGTATTTAAATTAAAATTTCATATAATTAAACAATTTTAACGAATATATATTGATTAGGTAACAATAATGAAATAGTCAAAGTAGATTTCAAAAAATTCTACTAAGTAGACTTACAATAAAATCTACTCCAAAAATTTAACTATAGTAGACTTCAAAAGAAGTCTATACTATCGAAATTTTTAACCTAGCTACAATTTTTATCTCCCTATATAAATGAAATTTAGACAACTCCCTCTAAAGTGGCTGCATAAGTTTCTTAAAAACTCTCACTTCTCTCTAAAACTCTCTCCATTCTCTCTAAAACTCTCTTATTTCTCAATTCTTTGAATGTGAAGATGAATTTTTGTTTAGTTTGTTAATTTTTCTATCATGTCTATTTCACAATATTATCTTGTGTTTAGTTTGTTAGACGACCAACAACAGAGTACACTTGAAATAATAAAGTTATGTTTATGAAAATGAAAGTTATGAGAGTTTTTACATGAAAATAGAGAGGAAATTAGAGGAAGTGAAGATTTGTTGGTTTAGAATGAGAAAAATAGTGGTTGAAAATTGAATTTGAGAGGTTTAAAGAGTTTAAAAATGGTGGTTCATGGTGGTTGAATATTGATGACTATAGCATTGTTGTAAATAAGAAGAAAAGTTTAGGGTGTAATTGGTTTTTGCTAATTTTCAAAATAATAAAAAAATAAATAATAATGGCAATTCTGTAACTATTTCAAAAACATAAGGATGGTTTGGAAATTTCATGGGTGAATAGTAATGACAAAAAAAGGGTTAGTTTTGCAATTGACTTTAAATTGTAGGTTGGTTTTGCTAAACTCCCTAATTTAATTAAGGGCAAAAGAGATAAAAGAAAAAAATTGCATTGAAAACAAAAAATGACATATATTTTTGCAACAAAAAAATTATGTTATAACGATAATTAATCAGAAACAGAGGGAGTATTTTTTTATTGTAATTTCGAACTTTTAATTGAAATAAAGGACATTGTTGCCCCTTTTGAAAATATTTAGTCTAATGGAACATAAAGTATATGAGATTAGTCTAATGGGATATACAGATATAGTTACCATTTGTATTTAGATATGTTGTGGATTTAAAAGAAAACCAAAAAAAAAAATTCTTATAAGAGAGACATTTGAAATTTTTAAGAGGGCATTCTAGATGGTCTTTTCTCATTCGTATCAGATGTCTATAGTTTCAGTGTGGTCGTGAATGAAACTATTAGAGGGAAGGAAAACACTTGGTTCTATAAACCGGAGAAGTCCTTAAACTTTCTAGGGTATGTGAGGGATCTGGATCTAAGAGTTTTAGACATGTTTATGCACATTAAATGTTTATATAAATTTGCAGGCGTGGAATCTCCAGAGAGTGGGAAAGGGGATCGAGTTACGTGGTCAAGCTCTACAAGAAACATGCGAAACAAAATAGTTCTTGGAGCATATAAGCTTACAAATACAAAGAAAACTTGTAATAGCTATTCAACCTGAGACCTGAAACCGAGAAGATTTTGCATGAACTTTCAATGGAAGGAGATTTTGGCTTTGGAAGATGCCTTTGAGAATCCCATTAACTGTGACCTTATCATCTGCCTCCGGAGATTGTCTCGACAGAGGAAACTAGATCTTAGAGTCATCTTTATCAAGGCCTTTCCATGTCTCAGCAGAAAGATAGCAAGGCTCATCTCATTCTCACACTCTAAGAATCCATGAATTTCCACAAACTCCAAATTGTTCAAGAAAGATTCCACTTCATAGGTTTGAGATTCCCAGTGTTGAATCTCTGAGTTAGACATATCCCACAAGTCCTTATTCCATTGCTGTCAAAATCAGAGAGACAAAATTTAGATCAAAACCGAGAAAGAATAAAGCATTGGCTCTCTTAATACTTACCCTTCTTTCACTTGTTTGATCATTAATGATCTTGAGAAGAAGTATGTTAAGCATCGGGCAGCTCTTGAACAAACATGACAACGCTTGAACATTGTGTCTGTCGAAACGTGTTTGCAGTTCCAAGAATCTCATGTTGTGAAACGGTATAAGATGATTCTTTACTAATCCCTTCTTGCTTGACAAAATCTGTCACAACATTAATTAACAAGAATGTGAAGCAAAGAAATAACGTTAAAAGAAGGAAGTGTAAGTGTACATATACCTCTACAGATTGGTTTCCAAGTTGTAGTTTATAGGAATGGCAGAGTTCAGACAAGAGAGTGAATAAGCTCTGTGTCTGAGAATTGATATCTTGATGAAGCAACAGAACTCCAACGAATGCCTTTCTCAGACAAACTAACTTGTTCAAGAAATGAACAGTTGTAGTGACTGCATTTGAGTTCCAAAGGAACGTTTTGAGATTTGGAGTGTTAATCTTCACAATGCTCTCTTTAGGGTATGAATGGAAGCAACTCACAACCTTAAGTCTATGAAGGTTATTACCAGAAACCTCTAAGCTATCAAGCTGTAAAGACTTCTTTAAAGTAAACTCTTGGAGAAGACGGCAACAAACCCTAAGTTCCTTGAGTCCGAAGCAACTTTCTAGGGCTAGTTTCTCTAAAAGAGGGAAGTTTGGATCAGTGAAGAAATCTGAGAGATAAGGTTGGTTGTATAGAATCACAAGAGATAAAGAGAGTGATGTCAGTTTCTGGAAACCTCCACAGATTGATGATGAAGGAGGTAATCTAAAACCTGGGTAAGATGACTTGAGCTTCAAGGTTCTTAACTTTTGAGAAGTTACAATCCAACGAGGGAAGTTAAAGTAGTCTTTGGTAGTGACTTCAACGTCAAGATCTTGAACATGTTGAGTAACAGCTAAACGGATCAAGGAGTTGAGACTTGTGAAGGTGATTGGAGTGCGGAAACGAAGTGATCTGAGATTGTTGGTGGCATCACGGTGATGACGAAGAGAAAGCAGTTGGTAAATGGAATTGGAAGAGAAAGAGGGTGGTTTAGGGTTTTCATTGATGGAAGTGAAATCAAGATCAGGCAATGAGAGAAAGAGAGATCTCCATCTTTTTGAGAGTGAGCTGGTTATAGCTGCGGATTGTAGAGGCAGTAAGAGAAGAATCTGATGAAGAAGAGAGTCAGGGAGGTTACTGATCCTATCTTCTTTGATAACGTCTTCTCTCTTCTTGTTCTTCTTTCTTTTCACAGATCTTATCTCCATTGTCAAAAACACAATAACCCTAATCAAGCTTTTTTTTTTTTGCTTTTGTTTTCCTCTAGTCCGAGATTAGGGTTTGAAACATTCAAAACAATCTTTGGAAATCAGTAACGATAAGTGCGTTGAGAGTTTGTTTCCACAAACTTCGCATTTTCTGTTTAAAAAGATATTTAAATTCAAAAACAAATATTTAAAATTCAACAGATTAACGATTTATATTTATACATAAACAGAATCATCAAAGAGAGTCGCGTCATTTTTCTTTAATCACAATATTTTGTCGAACAAGTTAAAGAGAAGATTTGACTTAAGAAGAAACATCGTAGCATCAAAGCAATAATCATATGATTAGCTCGAACCCAAATAAGGTGATGAAAACTTAGCTCAGACACAGTTCGCTCATTCCACCACCAGAATCTCTCGTCTCCACTCCACTTGCTTAGGTCAGTTGTTGTCGGAACTTCACAAGCATCAATCTTGAAATTTTTGTAAGAAGCATGCAGTGAAAAGAGCAAATGATTCCAAGACCTCCATGAGTTGCCCAAACATCTGCATTCCAAACCCTTATCTCCAAGATTCTTGTGGACACGAATCGGTGTCTCGCCTAACCATGAATATGATGTTTTAAACAATAAAAGAGTAATTAAGTGTGGGATCGATAACCAAAGGTTGAGTCTTTGCTCTATGTTTTTAACTCCGTTCACATAAAAGTTTGTTAAGGCTCACCGGTTGGGTTATCTAAGAGCCAGTACATTGATGAATTTTAGAGGGATCACACACTTTCCGAAAAAAAAAAAAATTAAAATATTAGAAAAGTTGTGAACTCATGTCACATGGGATCTCTGTGCCCTGGTATCATCACTATTACATGGATCCCACGCCATGTGGCGTTCCACAATTGGTTCGCTATTTTTTTTTTAAGCAAACAGAAAAAATAGAATAATAATTATAAAAAAATATTTTTATAAACTCCACCACAGGTTCATCAATGTACCTGTTCTAAGACCATGCGCATCAAAGAATCCGCTTTGGGATTCATGATTTTAATTTTTTCTTTTTTTTTGACTTTTTTTTTATTAAAATAAATGGACCAATAGCAGATCGTCACGTAGCGTGGAGTCTACAAAATAGTCATGAACTGGGTTCATCCGAAAGAGGCAAGCCTAGTTCACCAAAAGCAATTATTCTAATATTTTTTTTTTTTTTTTTGGAAATGTGCGAACTTGTGGCATGAAGTCTTGATGTGCATGCCCTAAGAACTCGAAATCGAACTCGTTTCAGAAGACACCTATAAGAAAGAAGGAGAAAACATGGAAAGATTTCAAGATTTTGTCCGAAAACAAAGGAAGAGAGTTTTTTATTTAATTTTTTCGTACGGTAGAAAGCAGTGACTGTTCTTGATGAGTTACACTAACAAGCTTGATCTGGATAGAGACTTTACCAAACAAGTACTTGCTTCTTGATTCAAACCCAGCTCCTGAAAAGTCAATGGAACAGAGAGAAAGGGTTTTTGTTTATAAATTTATGTACCAGAGAAATTGTCAAAGCTTGAGTCTTGTGACTTCTCCGTCGTTGACACAATGATCGATAGCCACCTTGAGCGGTAAAGTTTCTCGAACTTAGCTGGAGGAGCAGCTAACACCATACACACATTATCATCATCGTACACATGAACCAACAACTCGTATTGACTCAGTACACTACTGGAAATTCGCCTTCCATATGTTCCTTGTATTCTCTTTCATAATATTGTTTTCACTAAGGTGTTAGAATCACATGAGCAATAGAAGCAATTCAAAGCCTTGTACTCTGTTAAGCAAATCCGTTGTACTAAAGTTTGGAATACAAAGAAAAGCCAAAATGATTGAGATAAACAGTAAGCAAACACCAATGTGCTGATACTTGCAAAGACTATCATCCATAAACTAGAACGTTCACCTTAAACCAACACAAGACGCAAAATTCAAATAAGTAGTAATGTGTTTGGCAAGAAGAACATCAGTGTCTGAAAGGGAAAGCAAGGTTTTTCTTGATCTGCACTGTGTATCAATCAAGATGAGCTGCTCATGCGGTGGTTATTTCCATCTTGTTGAGCAGTTTTCTTGATTGATTCAAGAAGATGCTCAATTCTGTATTTCATAACAGGCTGACCATGTCTAGTCTTTCTCATCATATTCCCCTTGGCTGCTTTCCTCCGTGACTCAGCCTCTTCTCTGGCTTGTTTCTTTGCCTGAAAGGCCGCCTCTCTCTCCATCCTCGCTTTCTCCATCTCTTCTCGTGTCTGCTTGTACACCTCCTCAACACCGATTCTCTTGTGAGATTTACCCTTGTGCTTATCATCAACCACTTTACTACTCTCTCCAGTCTCACACTCTCCATGAAAGCTCTGCGGCTTCATCTCATGAAGGTTCTGCTGCTGCTGCTGCTGCTGCTGCTGCTGCTGCTTCATCGACCTCCTAAACTTGCTCACATACTTGGCATTCTTGTAGAATTCCTTTTGCTTTTCTGATAAGAGAAAAAAAGTCACAAGATTTCAATCATACTCCAAGCCTAGTCAAGTAGTTATCTTCTAATGCTTAAACAGTGATTAATTAGATATCCTCTCTACTTTCTTCTAATCCTAAAGCTAACTAATAATTTAAAAAAAAAAAAGAAAAAAGATGATGTTTTTTCGAATTGGGGTAAGGGAGAAGAAGTCGCTTACTGATGAGAGCAGGGTTATAGTGACTGTTCTTAGACTTCAGGTTAGCAAAGGTTTGGAGAGAAAGACCACCGCCTCCCAACCTCTTCATGTTCTTGCTCCTCTTCGTATCGCTCTTCCTCCTTGTATCATTCTCTCTTTCATGAAAGTCCTTCATCTTCGCCCCGATCCTTTAAGCTACAGACAAAACTCCACAATCTGATCCGAAAGGGGGAGGAGAAAGAGATTACAGAACCCTAATTTGTAATCTGCGGCCACTCTCGAGTCTTCTGAATTGGGGAAACTGCCACCTTACTGAAATACCCCTGATAAAAGCACCACCAAAACTGGTTTTAGGAAGAATTCATCCTATGAAGAAAAAGCCCATATACTCTACGTTGTGACTAGGATCAAAATGGATCATATTGGTCAACCCAATCCATAATTCAAATGGATTGTTTGTTAATGGGTCATGAGTCACTCTAACCCATTTAATAAATAGATTGGTTTGACCTATAATCCATTAAATTATAAGGGTTAGATGTAGGAGTGTCAAAATAGATCAAATGGGTCAATCCAACCCATAATCCAAATGGGTTGACTGTTAGTGGATCATGGTTCAGTCCAATCCGTTTAATAAATAGGTTGACTTGACCCATGACTCATAAAAATTATTTGGGTCAGATGGATTAATAGTTGACCCATCAACCCAACATCTTTGTCCAAATCCAAAATTGACCATTTTAAATGGGTTTTCCGCGGAGCCCAATTAATAAAAAAAATGTTAAAACATGATTTTGTGATTTTGGCAGGAAAAATATTACGATTTTGGCGAGAAATGATTAAGCGGTTTTGGCGGGAAAACATGATTTAACTAATTTGCGAAAAAATGTGATTTTGTGATTTTGGCGGGAAAACATGATTTTGCGGTTTTGGTGGGAAAACATGATTTTGCAGTTTTGGGGGAAAACGTGATTTAACTAATTTGCGGGAAAATGTGATTTTAGCGGGAAAACATACTTTTACGGTTTTGGTGAAAAACATGATTTTGCAGTTTTGGCATAAAAATGTGATCTAGCGATTTTCGTAGAAAAACGTGGTCTTGCAGTTTTGGCGGAAAAACGTGATCTTGCGGTTTTGGCAGAAAAACGTGGTTTACGGTTTTGGCGGGAAAATGTGATTTTGCGTTTTGGCGAGAAAACGTAATTTTACTAATAACATGCATATCAATTGAATTTTTCCAATTCAAGAATTTGTAGTTTAGTGATTTCTATTGGTGTTATTCATTGTGTTTGTAGATATGATAACATGCATATTCTTATTAATGCTTTTCTTGGTAAAATATTAAATTTTAGGGTTAATTTGCATATCAATTGAATTTTTATGTTTAGCCCAATATTAGAGCATCTCAAAAACGATTTTCTATTTTAAAATTTCCAAAACTCTATATTTAAAGTTCTAAGGTGATCTTATCTCAAAGCAAAACTTCAAAATTATTTATATATATTACATTATGATTTTTTATTTTTGTCGTAGTAAATATAAATTCATACAACATTTATAAATAACAAATACATATATATAAATTATACAACAATTTAATTAATAAAATTTACACCAAAATAAAAAATTATAATACAAATACATGATTAAATATTAACTACAAGCAGAATACCACATTTTTGTTGTCTACTTTTAGTTTTAAACTTTTAAAAATACTAAATTTCAAGCAAATATTTTAAATTTTATTATAAATTTTTATTTAGTTTTATGTCTAAAACTTAAATTTATAAAAAGTAAAAGTTAATCTGAAATATTTATGAGATATAAAAATTTTAAGGATTAAAAAGATAAACAAGAAAATATTTATGAATTATAAATTTTATTCGTAATTTATAAGGAATAAAATGCAATTAAAAAGATGAAACTTCAAATTTAGAGTTTTGAGTATTGAAACTTCAAATACAAAGTTTCATTCTTCAAAACTTTAAATTTGAAGTTTTAAAATTTCTTTTTGAAAAACAAAAATAATTATATATTTAAAGTTATAGAGTTTCTTCTGGACATGTTTTTAAAAATGAGGTTTTATAGGCTTCTTAATATTGATTTTTTTTAGTTTACAGTGTTCATAAAAAATGTTTAGTTTTTAATATTATATCATAATTTATTTATATCATGAAGTTTTTTTAGCTGTTCAAAAATATTATGAAATTTTTTATTTTATTTTTAATATAATTAACGGTTTGAATTGAATAATCCGTGAATGCTTAAATGAATCTGGAATATCCAAACATCCGAATATCCACGACTGTCCGGATCAAAGCAGATCACAAACATAAGAATTTGTCTGGTATGGAGTGAATTACTAATATTGTAAATTTTTGGGATATCCGTTTCATGCTTATACCTAATTATATCGATAAGAAGGATGCAGGCGAGTATAGTGGTGTTGGTGAAGCGTCAATATATTAGAAATTTGTAAAAGAGACTACGGAAGTGATAATGTATTTTGGGAATCTTGGAACTTTTAGATTGGATTTCTCGTCGAGTTAAGAATTTATATATACATATAAATATATGTATTTCGAGAACTCTAGCTATAAAAACCTCCATTGGAGTGTTCTTATAGCGTCTCATGTAAGGACGATGTAAATATCAAACAATATAATAATGATAAAAATAGATAAGTGGAAAGAAAGAGAAATCACGGCAGCATCGCCGGATTCTTCATTTCTTTGCGCTTGTCCTTACATTTTACATAGTATGGACATATGTTGGGAGAGTGTTGCTTGGAGCTGCAGCAAATCAAAACTGGACAAAGACCCTGACGTATTTTAGACAAGCGAGACTCAATCAGTTGGACTACATCTTGCTTAGGTTAGTGTTTTATTCTACAACCTTACCATGTTTAGATATAAAACGTTAGCACCATAGACATCAATGGACTTGGAACTCACACCAATAGCTCACATGTTTTGCTAGAAATAGGCTGATGTGTCCTTAAGATACAAATTTTGGGTTGGTTTACAAGAAGAGAGAAAAGAAACATGTTTTGCGAAAAGCCCATCAGAAAGAGGCGTTAAAGGGCCAATCAGGCTTATAGATTGTGATTCAAGGCGCTGAAGTCAACCCTAAACCCCTTTTTACTACTTATCCGTACTTAAACCCTAGCTGACATTCGTCACTTGGGAGTTGGGACCGGAACGAAACCCTAGACGAATCTTACCATGCGTAAGGTCAAAGGCCAGCATCGCTTGGATAAGTATTATCGTTTGGCCAAGGAGCGTGGCTTCCGTTCTAGAGCTTCTTACAAGCTTCTTCAGATAGATGAAAAGCACAAGCTCCTCGCTAGTTCCAAAGCCGTTCTCGATCTCTGCGCTGCACCCGGTAGCTGGATGCAAGTCGCAGTCCAGAAAGCTCCCGTGGGCAGTCTCGTCCTCGGTATCGACCTCGCTAAGATCGCACCCGTACGTGGCTGTGTGGCTATCCAGCAGGATATCACGCGGACCGATCAGTGCAGGTCGAAAATCAAGCAAGTGATGGAGAAACATAATGTGTCGGCTTTCGATCTTGTTCTGCACGATGGTTCACCAAACGTCGGTGGTGCGTGGGATCAAGAGGCTATGAGCCAGAACGCTTTGGTCATTGACTCCTTGAAACTGGCCACAGCGTTCTTAGCTCCTAATGGTAACTTCATCACCAAGGTATGTTGCGGAATGATTCTTGCTTTAGACTTAGACTTTGTTTCTGAACTGAACTACTTTCTGCTTTTAGGTTTTCAGGTCTCGAGATTACGAGTCTGTGCGGTATTGTCTTGAGGCGGTATTGTTTACTTCTTACTACTATTTTTTATTATTTTTCTTTTTCTTGGTCTTACTGGTAGTTACATGTTTGGTGCAGCTGTTTGATGAAGTAAAAGTGTTTAAGCCGATGGCGAGTCGTTCAGAATCTGCAGAAACGTATCTGTCGGGCTTGAGATACAAAGCTCCTGCTAAGATTCCATCTCATCTACTCGATTACAGACAACTCTTTAAGTATACAGCAGAGTCCAAGAGAATGGTCATGATCGTGTATTACATAGTGTGTTTGGTTGGAGTGTTTTCTTCAACTCTCACATGATACTTGTTGTGTTTTTGTAGGTGGTGGATGTGCTTAGAGGATCAAAACAGAAGAGAAACCGCGATGGGTACGCAACATCATCCACTGTCTATTAAATCTTCTTGTTACAATATATTATTAAGTGAGGATTCTTAAATATATATATACACGTACAGATATGAAGATGGAGAGTCAGTTTTGAGAAAAGTTGCAACTGCTGCTGATTTCATATGGTCTGAGAAACCTATTGAGATTCTTGGCACTGTTACTTGTATATCCTTTGATAATCAAGCCTCTCTACCTTTAAAGGAACATGTTTTGACTACAGAAGAGGTACTTTTTTTCTGATTCTCTATATGCAATTAATAACTAGGAGGTTTTGAGTCCGTACATCCTCTAAGATGAGACCTAGACCATCTTAAATGTTCTCTCATATTAGAGTTTTTTAGCTAATTCAACAGTTTTAGCCATTATGTCAACTCTTTATTGGTTCCATATTTTATTTATGCCTTGACACATTTATCTCTCTTTTTTTTTGGTCAAATGCAGATTAAAATTCTATGTGAAGATGTTCCTGTTCTGGGAAAGAATGAATTCAAGCATATCCTCAAGTAAAAAAATGATTCATTTACTCCATCATGTACCCTTTTTCTTTAAAGCTTTTCCAAGAACGTTGTAGAGTTTTGCTTGTAATGAAAATAGCTCAACTCTTTTTGCCTTGTAGATGGCGAATGCAAATCAGGAAAGCTCTGACTCCTGAAAAGAAACAAGGAACTAAAGAGGCTGATGTCGCAAAAGAACAAGAAGAAGATGAGGAGGAGGAGGATGATGATAAGCTACTCAATGAACTAGAAGAGCTGACAAACACAGTAGTTCGCAGGAAGAAGAAACGTGCAAAGAAGCTTCTTGCAAAACGGATTGCTAATGTTACTGATCCACAGATAGATGCACTAGAAGATGGCTATGTAGACCATGAACTGTTCTCTCTTTCTACTATCAAGGGAAAGAAAGATCTAATAGCTGTTGAAAATGAACAAGATGATAATGACAACGCATATGAGAGTGACAAGGAAGAAGCTTCAGATGGCTCCAAAGGCAGTGGCATAGATTCTGATGAAGAACGTCAGAGGTCAGACCCCTTTTCTGTATTGCTCTTTTCATTAAATGTCAGTACATTTCTCAAAATTGTTTCATCTACATTTATACAGATACACTGAACAAATGGAAGAGACTTTTGATGAGGCATATGAACGGTATATGGTGAAGAAAGAAGGAAGCGCCAAGCAAAGGAAGCGGGCTAGGCAGGACCACGCTGAGAAGCTGGAGGGTGGTGATGGAGAGGAAGAGATGAGTTTTGATTACGACTCGGACAAGGATGAGCCAAACCCTCTTGTGGTAGCACTTGTTGGTGGAGAGGAAGCACAAACAAAGGAGGAAGTATCCAACCATTGGTTCAGTCAGAATATATTTGTAGAAGCTGTTGAAGAAGGGGACCTTGGAACTGAGAAACATAGCCAACCTCTGTCTAAAAAACCCCACCAGAAGTCTTTGAAGCAGAAGGAGGAAGACGATTTGGAGATTGTCTCTACCCCAGAGACTGATTCAAACTCATCCTCTGATGATGAAGTTAATATAAACAAGGCTGAGATATTGGCATGTGCCAAGAGAATGCAAAGGAAGAAGCAGAGAGAAGAGATGCTTGATGATGCTTATAACAAGTACATGTTCGATGACCAATGCTTACCCAATTGGTTTTTGGATGAAGAGAAGAAGCACAGACGGGCGGTGAAACCCATTACGAAAGAAGAAGTTAATGCCATGAAAGCTCAGTTCAGAGAGATAAACGCTCGTCCAGCAAAGAAAGTGGCAGAGGCTAAGGCGCGGAAGAAGAGAGCCATAGAGAAAAGATTGGAGAAAGTGAGGAAGAAGGCAAACACAATATCTGATACAACGGATATATCAAACCGGTCTAAGGACAAGATGATAGACAAGTTATACAAGAAAGCGGTAGAGACAAGGAAGCCTAAGAAAGAACTTGTTGTGTCTAAGAAAGGAGTTGGTGTCAAGATTGGGAAAGATCAGAAGAGAGTGGATAGGAGGATGAAGAGTGATGCTAGGAAGCGTGGAGGAGGAAGGCCCGGTAGGAACGGGAAGAAGAGTGGCCAAGCCTGGTAGGAACGGGAAGAAGAGTGACTATAAAAGACAAAAGTGTTTTAAATTTTTTTTTGATTAACTACTGTAAGACCAACATTATGGAACTCATGCACTTTAGCTTTATGGAACTGCTGGTTTTTAATATATCTGTGCTTTGATTGAGAAAGAAACTCAAACAAAACGAACTTGGAATCGAAGTTAGGGTTTCTTGATAGAGATTGAAAAGTGGGTCTTGCCCAAAACACACGAGTCTTTGTTCAACCTGTAAGTCAACACACATATTTAAAGCATTTGTAATTGTTAGTCTCATGTCTGGTTCCTTGTAATACGAATATTTGCGACATATCTCCAAACACACAACACACATCTATACTTATTATTTACAAAGTGATTTTTTCGCAAAGGAACTCTCACATTAGAGTGGTTAATATCATTTATACCATTAAGGAATAAGATATATAAATCAGCTAAAAATAAAACAAATTTAATTTTTATTTGATTAGATAAATGATTTAATTAATAATAATCATAACAAGTATCCATAATCTAAATATATATTAAACAAAAATTCCTATATATATTGTGCTGTTATCCGAAAAATATATTTTAATAAAAAAGTTTCAAAAACAGAAAACACATGAATAAATATTCATAAAATAAAAATTTTAATTGTATATAATTGAAAAGGAAAAATTGAAAAAATTATAAGACATAATTATTATCAAATTAAAAGAATATGATAGTATAATATAATGATATATATATTTGTGAAGTTATTTTACGCCTCTGAACTCACATGTTAAATTAAATTTATTTTTATATAATTAAAACTTAAACATAAATTAATCATAATAAAATAAAAGATCATTCAAAAAGAAATAAAATACGTATTTGACAAAAATAAATTTAAATATATCTTATTATTATCCAAACTAATATATGTATATTTATCGATTCAATTTTTCAAATTGAATAATATATCTCAATATTTTTATCAATTAAGAAGAAATGAAATAAACTTTGGATTTTTCAAAATTTTGAAATTTTTTTTTTTAATTTGTGAATAACTTTATCATATAAAAAATTTAATGTTTTAGGTCGATATTTTTTGGATGCAAATAACCATTTTGTATGATTTTTTAAATTTATTTAACGATGGTTAAGCCCGCATGCGCGGGTAAAACACGTAGTATCCCATATATATTATTTGAGAATCATTTAAAAAGTTGTAACCTTAAGTTTGTAAGAATTAAAAATAACACTAATCCTATGTGGCGTAGCTCTTTTGCTTTTATTTCAAATTCCAAGGATTCTAAAGCATGTGATATAATGTATAGTCTAAAAATTATGCTCTCTAGCAATTAAATATTTTGTAGGTTATAGTTGGTCGCATATATCAAATATTTATTGTTTCGCATACTTTCCTTAAATAATACCTGCAGAATTACCTAATGTGATTAATATATATATATATATATATATGACAATTAATGATTTTAAACAATAAAGATTTGATAACAATCTATATACTTTTTCTCATTTTGTTTATTTCTTTATTATTAAAATAAATTACACAATTACATTAATCATATAATAAAAAATCTAGATTTTTTTTTGTGTTTGTTGTATTTTGAATTTTTCAAAATGAGTATAAATTACTAAAACTGTTAAAACTCTTACATAAATTTTTAGGATCATGGTTTTAATTTTTTCTCTATATTAAAATATAATATTATAAGACCATATGAAGAAATAATTTTAGTTTATATATATTTCGTATCATTTTAGTTAAACAATACATCGTATGAAAATACATACTTATATTTTGATATTTGCCTTGAACATATATTGAAAAGTTAATATTTTAATGTTGAAATATGTCATTTTTAAAAAAAAATGATTATAAATTGTTGAAACTACTAAACATCTCACATTAAAAAAAATGTGTTGTTGTAAAGTTTTGTTACACAAATATGCAAATAATCATAAAATCATATGAGTAGACACTTCATTTAATAAATATATATATTAAAAGTGTGCTATATTACTATGTTTATATCATTTAAATTTAAATATATATCATATACAATATATAAGATTGATTATTTTGATTTATTTACCCTAATTGCAAATAAACAGGAGTGATAGTTAAATTTATATGCATACGACAATTTATTACATAATAGTAACTAATTTCTTAATTATTTAATATATATATTTATTATTTTATTATTTTATAATATGCATAAAAATATAAAATAAATAATAAATATAAAATACTTATTGTGCATAAATTGCAGATCTTAACCTAAGTATGTATATCTTTAATTATTTTAAATCTTAAGTATTTTCTAAATCTCAGGTCAAAACAAACGAACGAAATGAGAATAAACTTCATATATCGAGTAATAACAAAAATATAAAAAACACAACAAGAGAAAAAATTGAAGATAAATAGGATTGACACGTGAACGTAAACTTCTCATAACCATAATTAATTTTTAAATTGTTATATCATGATATAAAACTGAGTTATGTTAAATCATGACCATAATTAATTTTAAATTGTTTATTTTTATTTGAAAAACTTAAAATATTGTTTTTAAAAATAATTTAAATTTAACTTAATTTTATATAAAATAATTTAAAAATCTAATTTGTAAAAATATAACTTTTTAATATTATTAGACAAATAAATAAATTATATTAAATTAGTTTTGAAACTTTACATATTTTAAATGTACATATTTTACCAACTGCTTCTTAAAAAAGCATTAGGGAATCTGCTAATACTCTACCAATCAAGTCCAATGACACTCTGTTTATTTTCCATCACTCGAACACTGAAAGTGAAAAGATATATGAAATCGGGTCCATTAAATTCTAAGATTTGATCTACAGTTCTAATTACAATTGTTTGTGATCCTACGTATAGATAATTATATAAAAATTCTAAAATTCTAAAATTTCCAATACATATAAAAACAATCATATATAAATTTAAATTTGTCAGTACTAAAATTTTATATTTTAGTTACATATATTCACCCTGCGCAAGGCGCAGGTCTTATCCTAGTATATTATTATTTGAGAAGTGATTTTTTACGACGGATCTCTCACGTTAAAAGTTAGAGTGATTAATATCGTTTATACCCTTAATGAATAAAATATATAAATCAACCAAAAATAAAAACAAATTTAATATTTATTTGATTAGATAAATGATTTAAATTATTAATAATGATAAGAATTATCCATAATCTAAATATATATTTAAAAATAAATAGATAATTTATATATATAATGTGTCGTTGTCCAAAAAATATTGAAATAAAAAAGTTTCTAAAACAGCAAACACATAAATAAAAATTCATAAAGTTAAATTTTTAATTATATAAAATTGAAAAGAGAAAATTGAAAAAAATTATAATACGTAAGTATTTTCAAATTAAAATAATATGATAATATAATCTAATGATATATATTTGTGAAGTTATTTTTCGTCTCTGAACTCACACGTTAAATTTAATTATTTTTTTATTTTATATAATTAAAATTTAAACATAAATTAATCATAATAAAAAAAAGATTATTGAAAAAAAAGAAAATATGTGTTTAACAAAAATAAATTTAAATATATTGTATTATTATCCAAACTAATATTATTCTTTCGGTAGAATTAATTTTTGGATGTATATTTAGCGATTCAATTTTTCAAATTGAAAGATATATTTCTATTTTTTTATAAATTAAGAAAAAATGAAATAGACTTTGGATTTTTCAAAGTTTTAAAGGAAAAACTAGATTTTTTAATTTGTGAATAACTTTATCAAATAAAAAAGTTAGGTCGGTTTTTTTGGATGCAAATAACAATTTTATTTGATGATTTTTTAAATTGATGTAAAGATAATTAAGTCCGTATATGCGGGCAAAACAGTACGTAGAGTATTTGATTTGTGATAAAGAAAAATAGGGGTGAGTTATTTTCTAATTTGAACGATTAAAAGGGTAACAAACAGAGCACGAAAATAAGGTGGCAAAAGGGAAGAAAAGAAATAGGTAGGAAAAAAAGGAGGGGCGTTCCGAGAATTGAACTCGGGACCTCTCGCACCCTAAGCGAGAATCATACCACTAGACCAAACGCCCTTGTTACTGCTGTTGTTATCATTTTCATTTAAACTTAAGACTACAGAATTGCTTTTCTAAACCATCCGAACATAGCGCTAGTTTCTTGGATTATCTTCGTCAATGAAACCTCCTTCTATAGGGTTTCTAATCGTGAAAGAGTTGGGCGCTTATTGCGATTTGGTTCCTTGAAATTCGAGTTTCGATGGTCAATCATAACGAAGACGAAGAAGCTTTTGCCTCCGATTCAAAGTCTCCTCCAGCATCTTCCGATCATAGTGACTTTTGCTATTCAAAGTCCTAATCTTACTGTATCTCTTTATTCGAGGAAATCAAGAATCAAACTGTGTTATCAGTTTGTTTCCAACAAGTGTTCCAGGAGGGCTAGATAGATTATTTGGGTTCTCAGGAACCAAACCAGGAGAGTCAGTCAACTCAAGCAGAAGCCCTTTGTTTTGTGGACCAGTTTCTGATGGGAAAATAATATCTAAATGTGTATCTCCCCCTTTCTCAGGGGCAAAAGGACGTCACTCTCTGGCCCAAATAATCAAAGACAATCAGTCCAACCAAGAAACTGAGTGTCTTTGATTGGGATATTGATCAGTCTGGTGACATTAATTACAGGCTTCAAGAGAAGCGAAGATCATGCTACAGATGATGATCGTGGGGTAGAAAGAATCTATAAATCTGCGTGACAATTGGAAAGACTCAACATAATAGATTTTATGCACAACAGTTCTGCTAAACATTACAAATATTAATATCGCTGATGGATGCTCAGTTACCGCTTTGAGTAAAGATCAGATTGTCGAGGGGGCCGGGTGAGAGAAATGCATTATCATTCTCTACCTTTGTAATCGATTTGATCACATGTGAATAAATATTAGATCCAAGCCTTTATTGCTTCTCGTAACTCATGTGTTTCTCAACTAATGTGAATGTGAGTCATCAAAGGGCCCAAACATCATGTCTTACGCAAAAGGCATCACGTCTCTCTTAGGAAAAAGCTTGAGGTGCAAGCGAAACCAATACTATGTCAAGTAGGTTACAAGTATCATTAAGTGGGACAAGACAAGGCTTCGAGCACTGATTAAAACCATTTCACCAAGCCCTTTCATATTCTTACCTGTTTGTTTCAAGAGACCACAATAACTTTTAGATCTAAATCATTCTACCGAAATGAGAATCTATCTATCACATGAAAGAAAGACATGAATTACTTCTAAACCTCTTCACATACTGTATATTGGATTAGGAAAAGGTAAAAGATACTATTAAACAAGAGCTCTGAGAATCTCTGGCAGGATAAAAAAATCCCTAAACTCTCTACTCATTGCTTTCCGGAGATTCAGCACTGGTGTTCGGATTGTTGAAGCCACCACCACTTGGTGGAGCAGCAGCAGCAGCTGGATTCGTATGATAAGGAGGAGGCGGAGGAAGAGGAAGTCCATTATAATTGGGAGGTGGTCCACCACCTTGACCTGGTATTGGAGCCATTCCTGGTGGCCTAAGCATACCATTTTGTGGCGGTGGAGGTAGAGGAGCACCAGGTGGTGCCATCATCTGCGGTGCTCCCGGAGGAGGCATGTAACCTGGCAGAAGTACAATGTTACATATGTCAATTCAAAACTAAACTAAATGCAAAGCAGAACTGAAACATGTATATATGAAATATACTAATCAATGTTTGACAGAATCATGAGCAACATCCAACTCTCATGTTGATCAAAGTCTAATCTTTCCTCAGTTACATACCATGCACATGTTTGAGTTACTTCCCAAAACCCTTTGTACTGTAAATTCGCGCAACAAGAGGGTTATAACTCTAGTAACAGAAAATTACCTTGACCAGGTATCATGGGTCTAGGCAGGACAGGAGGCCGCATCCCCATAGGCAAAGGCATCATAGGAAGGCGAGGTCTAGCGAGCATATGCTGATTAAACACACCACCAACCTGATTGTACGCTGCAGCTTGGCCAAGATGCTCTTTAATTCTCTGATCAATCAAACTTTGGGTTTGTTGTTCCTCAAATTGCTGATAGTATATCCTAACATTCGCCTGAAGAACATCATCAAAACTCAATTACATACATACACCAAGCAACATATAAAAAAAAACATTATGGACTGCTTAGGTACCTTGTGTTTATAACCAGCATTGTGCTGCTTCCTCACAGATGGCTGAAAAAATAAAAATAAAAATAAAAATTGCCAATTAAAAAAAAAAAAAAAAATCAATCTTTACACAAAATCATGAGCTGAGTCCTTGTAATGATCAATCATCTCTACCAAGTAACTGAGCCAAGCCACTAAATATTTTAACATAAATTCATATGCTTCATTACTAGTAACAATAATCTTCACTAAGTAGTTGAGCCAAGCCCAATGCACAAAAAAAAGGTCTACTGCTTTTGAACGGAAACCTAACTGAGATCGACAGAGATTAAAAGAGGTTTAGACTTACGGAATCGTGGGTGAGATAAGTATCGCAATAATCACAGTAATACCTGCGGAAAATCAACATAAACAAGAAATCAAAACCCTAATATTGAAACTATCAGAATAACCATGGAGATCTCGAACCCTATACCTTGGCATCGTTCTGAAGAACCCCTTGCGAGACAGAAACTTCGAGAACCGCTAGAAGAAGGAGATTATTTATGATAATCTGACGGCTATTATTGACCGGAGAGTATCGTTACTTAAACGACACCGTCCTCTAGCATCTCTATAATTCATATATATACATATCTAACACTATTAAAAGGGGCAAATAAAACCCTCTCACCATGTCCACACCATCAAATATATTTGGTCAAAAATAGGGATTTAAACAGCCACATCATGTTTGGTTTGGGCATGCGAAACCCAATTTCGATTTCGGTCTGAATATCACGGTTTAATCTACCGAAACCCGGTTTGTTTTCAGTGAATGTTAAGTTAAAAAAAAAGAGAAAGTAAATGTTTTTATATATATAGTCCAAAACGATCATCATCATTACTCAATGACCAAACAATAGAACTACCAATGTTTTCAGAACTTATAATTACTAACAAAGAAATCATGAAAAAAAAATAAATCGTAAAGATGTTCATATATCTATTTATAAAAAAACACACACACACATATATATATATATATATAGTATAACCTTAGTAAAATAATAATGTTAAGATTTAGATATTTTAATACTTGACGTACATATTAATTTACCAAAAAAGAAATAAAGAAACCAAACAGAAGGACTTTTGTACTTCATTGTACTTCATATTTAAATGTAACGTACAACTAATATTGTAATTATAAATATTATCCTCATTTTACATACTTTAATCCTAAAAAAAATTGAAAATTTAAGATTTTATTTGTGATCCATTTTGACGATTTCTATAATTTCCATTCCAACTTATGACTAATTTGGATATTCTATGTCTACAGTTTTAAAATTAAGTGTATTAAAATTCTTTAGAAAGTAATTTAGATAAGAGATTGGATAATAAAACAATTTAAGAGTAAAAAAATCATACAATATTAAAAGGGGCAAATAAAGCCCTCTCACCATGTCCACATCAAAAATATATTTGACCACTAATAGGACTTTAAACAGTCACGTCATGTTTAGTTTGCGCATGCGAAACCCAATTTTGATTTCGGTCCGAATATTACGGTTTAATCTATTGAAATCCGGTTTGTTTTCAGTGAATGTTAAGTTACAAAAAAAAAAAAAGAAGATAAAGTAAATGTTTTTATATATATAGTCCAAAACAATCATCATCATTACTCTATGACCAAACAATAGAACAACCAAAGTTTTCAGAACTTATAATTACTAACAAAGAAATCATGGAAAAAAAATCGTAAAGATGTTCATATATTTGTTTATAAAAAAATTAAATATATATACATATATATAGTAGAACCTCAGTAAAATAATAATGTTAAGACTTAGATATTTTAATACGTAACTTACATATTAATTTACCAAAAATAAATAAATAAACCAAACAGAAGGACTTTTGTACTTCATTGTAGTTCAAATTTAAATGTAACGTACAACTAATCTTTTAAATTTAAATATTATCCTCATTTTACATACTTTAATCTTAAAAATAAAAATTGAAAATTTAAGATTTTATCTGTGATCAATTTTGACGATTTCTATAATTTTCATTCCAACTTATGACTAATTTGGATATTAGAATGTCTACAGTTTTAAAATTAAGTGTATTAAAATTCTTTAAAAAGTAATACACTTAGTTTTAAAATTAAGTAATCTAACACTATTAAAAAGGGCAAATAAAGCCCTCTCACCATGTCCACATCATCAAATATATTTGGCCAATAATAGTGCTTTAAACAGCCACATCATGTTTGGTTTGGGCATGCGAAACCCAATTTCGATTTCGGTTTGAATATCACAGTTTAATCTACCAAAACCCGGTTTGTTTTCAGTGAATGTTAAGTTACAAAAAAAAAAGATAAAGTAAATGTTTTTAGATATATAGTCCAAAGCGATTATCATCATTACTCTATGACCAAATAATAGAACTACCAAAGTTTTCAGAACTTATAATTACTAACAAAGAAATCATGGAAAAAAATAAATCGTAAAGATGTTCATATATTTGTTTATATATAAAAAAAAACAATATATATATATATAGTAGAACCTCAGTAAAATAATAATGTTAAGACTTAGATATTTTAATACTTAGCGTACATACTAATTTACCAAAAAATAAATAAATAAACCAAACAGAAGGACTTTTGTACTTCATTGTACTTCAAATTTAAATGTAACGTACAATTAATATTGTAATTTTAAATATTATCCTCATTTTACATACTTTAATCCTAAAAAAAATTGAAAATTTAAGATTTTATCTGTGATCCATTTTGACGATTTCTATAATTTTCATTCCAACTTATGACTAATTTGGATATTAGAATGTCTACAGTTTTAAATTTAAGTGTATTAAAATTCTTTAAAAAGTAATTTAGATAAGAGATTGGATAATAAAACAATTTAAGAGTAAAAAAAACTTAACAATATTTAATTGATGTATTTTCATGTATTTTATTAGTAAAAAAAAATTATACACTATTAAAAGGGCAAATAAAGCCCTCTCACCATGTCCACATCAAAAAATATATTTGGCCAATAATAGAGCTTTAAACAGACACGTCATGTTTGGTTTTGGCATGCGAAACCCAATTTTGATTTATGTCTGAATATCATGGTTTAATCTACCGAAACCCGGTTTGTTTTCAATAAATGTTAAGTTACAAAAAAAAAAAGGAAAAATGATTGTCAGCTACATGAAGTATTGACCACTACATGACTGACCATGCAAAGTAAAGAAATACACACTTAACTACATGAGGTATATGATATGCATACTAACATCCATAAACTTTATGTTGTTATGTAGGCAACATCACAAGACCAATTATTCTAATTATATCACAAGGCTAATTACATTAATAAAAAATAGAAATATAAAAAAATGTTTTAAGATATGGAAAATCTTAGAAATATAAAAAATGTTTTAAGATATGGAAAATATTTTTTATTTGATTTTGTATTATTAAGAGTATTTTTATTTTAAAAAAGTTTTATATAATAATATTTATATTAATATTGTTTTATAAAAAAATAACTTTATTTAATTTGACATATTTTTAATAGTTTGTTAGTTTAGCATTTATTTTTATACATGATTTAAATAATTATTTATATTTATAATGTAAGATAGAAAAGTATTTGTTTTTTTAATGAAACTACATAATTAGGTACATTTGAAAACGTTTTTATATCTCTTTATAAATTTATTTATAAACATTTTCAATAAACTAAAATGTTTTTAATATTTTTAATATTTGAATACAAAATATTTTTGCAATAAAATACTTATATTTGTTTACTGAAAATGTTTATAAAGACATTTTAAAGATATAAAATGTTTTGAAAAATATTTTTTTAATGACTTAGCTATTTACATAATTATTTATATTTATATATGTTTATAAAAATTGGTAAAAAAAGTCTTTTTCCATTTAGTGAAAAATGTAGTTGTAAGAATATATCCTTAGTGAAGGAAAAATGAATTGTGCTACAACAAATAGTGTAAAATAGAATTTCACCTAACAAATCATATAGAAAAAGAAAGGACAAACTATTAAAATTAAAATTAAAATTAAAATAAAGTTAAAAGTTTTTTCTGAAATAAAATTAATTTTTATTATTATTGTATAACACTTTTTAAAATAAAATATTCATAATAATAAAAATATAAAATATAAAAACGTTTTCCATATCGTAATACGTTTTTATATGTTATATTTATTATAAATGTAATTAATCTTGTGATGTAATTAATTGTTATTATCCTTGTGATGTTAGCTACATGACAACATAAAGTTCATGGATGTTACTATGCATACCATATACTTCGTGTAGTTGAGTGTACATTTTTTTACTTTGCATGGTCAGCCATGTGATGGCAGATACTTCAGGTAGTCGGTAATCATTTTTCCAAAAAAAAAAGATAAAATAAATATTTTTATATATATAGTCCAAAACGATCATCGTCATTACTCTATGACCAAACAATAGAACTACCAAAGTTTTCAGAATCTATAATTACTAACAAAGAAATCATGGAAAAAAAATAATCGTAAAGATGTTCATATATTTGTTTATAAAAAAATAAATATATATACATATATATACATATATATTGTAGAGCCTCAGTAAAATAATAATGTTAAGACTTAGATATTTTAATACTTAACGTACATATTAATTTACCAAAAAATAAATAAATAAACCAAACAGAAGGACTTTTGTACTTCATTGTACTTCAAATTTAAATGTAACATACAACTAATATTGTAATTTTAAATATTATCCTCATTTTACATACTTTAATCCTAAAAAAAAAATTGAAAAATTAAGATTTTATTTGTGATCCATTTTGACGATTTCTATAATTTGTATTCCAACTTATGACTAATTTTGATATTAGAATGTATACAGTTTTAAAATTAAGTGTATTAAAATTCTTTAAAAAGTAATTTAGATAAGAGATTGGATAATAAAACAATTTAAGAGTCAAAAAACTTAACAATATTTAATTGATGTATTTTCATGTATTTTATTAGTACAAAAAAAATAGATAGAGTTTATTACTTAAATATAACCTCAAATAAAATAATAGTGTTAAGACTTAACATTTTAATACTTAACGTACATATTAATTTACCAAAAAATAAATAAATAAACCAAACAGAAGGACTTTTGTATTTCACTGTACTTCAAATTTAAATGTACTGTACAACTAATATTGTAATTTTAAATATTATCCTCATTTTACATACTTTAATCCTATAAATAAATTTGAAAATTTAAGATTTTATCTGTGATCCATTTTGACGATTTCTATAACTTTCATCCAACTTATAACTAATTTGGATATTAGAATGTCTATAGTTTTAAAATTAAGTGTATTAAAATTCTTTAAAAAGTAATTTAGATAAGATATTGGATAATAAAACAATTTAATAGTCAAAAATACTTAACAATATTTAATTTATCAGTTTTCATGTATTTTATTAGTAAAAAAAAATAGATAGAGTTTATTACTTAAATATAAATTCAGACAAGCCTATGAACATAATAGTACAAA